TTGTATGTTTCAATAAGGTCACCTCTCATTCTTCTAAACTCCAATAAGTACAGCCCTGGCCTACTCAACCTCTCCTCATAAGAAACATTCTCCATCCCTATTATCAGCCTAATGAATCTTCTCCAGACTGCCTCCAATGCCTGAAGAAGGGTCCAGACTCGAAACGTCAGCTTTCCTGCTCCTCTGATGCTGCCTGGCCTGCTGTGTTCATCCAGCTCTATACCTTATTATTTCTCTTCTGAATAGCAACTGCAGATGGACCACAAGGAATGGAATGGTGCAACAGCTTTTTAAGACATGCTTCAATAATGATCTACACTCTCTCCAGATAGAGATCTAAAAAAAAATGGCATCAACCCAACAAAATCATATGATTTGTCACAAGGCCAGAAAACTGAATGTGAGACTCCTGCTTGTTGACTACAGCTCCACCTTCAACACCATTATTCCCTCCAGACTAATCTCGAAACTGTGACACCTTGGTCTCAGCTCCACCCTCTGCAACTGGACCCTTGGCTTTCTGACCCACAGACTGCAGTGAGGATAGGTAACTGCACCTCCTCCACACTAACATTCAACACTGCAGCACCCCACGTCCTCACCCCAAAAGGATGGGTCATCAGCCCCCTACTGTACTCCCTATACAGCTATGACTATGTTGCCAAATCCCAAACAAACACATTCTACAAGTTCGCTGATTACAGCGCCGTAATGGAATGAATATCTAACAATGACGAGTCAAACTACAGCAGGGAGAGAGAAAGCTTGGTGATGTGGTGCAATGAAAACAACCGGTCCCTCAACATTGGCAACACTAATGAGCTGATCATTGACTTCAGAAAGAAAGGAGGAGAACAGACTCGCATCTACCTCAATAGAACTGAAGTCGAGACAGCAGAGAGCATCAAGTTCCTAGGAGTGACGATAAACATTGACTTGTCCTGGATTTCCCACGTAAATATGACAGTCAAGAAGGCACAACAAACACCTCTTTTTCCTCAGGCGGCTCAGGAAATTTGGCAAGTCCATAAGGTCCCTCACCAACATCTCCAGATGCACCACTGAAAGCATACTGTTTGGGTGCATAATGGCCTGGTATGGCAACTGCTGTGCCCAGGACTGGAAGAAACTACAGAAGGTGATGTGCATAGCCCAGAACATCACAGAAGCCAACCTTCCATCCATGGACTCTATTTACATGGCTCACTGCTGCAGAAAGGTGGCCAACATCATCAAAGACCCATCGCACCCTGGTAATGCTCTCCTACAACCTTCTGAAGGAGGGTCTAGGCCCGAAACGTCAGCTTTCCTGCTCCTCTGACGCTGCTTGGCCTGCTGTGTTCATCCAGCTCTACACCTTGTTATCTCAGATTCTCCAGCAACTGCAGTTTCTACTATTTCTGCCTCTAAGTCTTGCTGATCTGTAAATTCTTTGGTTGCTGTGATCTGCCTGTACTGCTCGTAAACAAAGCTTTTCATTGTATTTTGGTACACATGACAACAAAAAAAATCAAAATCAAATCAACAAGATGATATGTTTCTGGTGGGAAAAAGCCCTGTCACACTGAATGTGTAGCCTAGATGTGCAAATAATGGAATATCTGGGTTAGTGGAGGATCCTTTGTATTTTCTGGTGCATTTACCGCTACATTCCAAATACATTCTTCATGTGTGAAATTAGACAGTGTGAGATCTCATAGACAATGAGGGAGCAACGTAATAGCTGAACTTAACGGAAATGATCTTTGGGTGGTGGTGTATAACTGGCAGCTGAATGGATATTGCCCACTTTATTTCAGCAGCCAAAGTCAAGATCACTCTCAGTGTGCGACAGACAGGGTAGAAGTGACGTGATTTCTTTTGCCTCCAGCAAGATGTTGGACTTGGTTTGGCAATGCTTACACTATAATTTGTAATGAAGCACAATGTGTGGGCTCCTCAGGCCAGGAGCCTGCAGCTCATCTACTCCAACCACTTTACTCTTCTTTTCCTATGGCTTTTTTAAAACATTTCCATTGTTTTAATGACTTTGGTGGAAGACGACTTCTCCTGGTGCAGGCCCAGCGACCCGGAATGGTGGTTCAGGCCTGAGTAGCAGTCTTGTTCAGGAAGGGCTGTCTCGGCCGGGAGTAGTGTCCTTGCTCCGTCTTCTTTGGTGGCTTTGGATATTCCAGCAGCCTGGTGTGAAGGTCTAGTCCCGGCGCAGAGGTCTCATCTTGGCATGGAGGTCTCATACTCGCTTCGAGGCCAGCTTCTCGGTTTTCAAACAGCCCAGTGTGGAGGTTTCATCTCAATTTGGTGCCTTGAATGGAGGTGTGGGGGGGAGGAGGTGTGTGTGGTGGTGCGTGGGAAAATAGGTGTAGGGGCAGTTGTAGCAGGTTGTAGGGGCAGGTGCTGGGGGTGATGGGGTTAGAGGGGAGTGAACGAGGGAGTCGTAGAGAAAGGCAGGCAAGGGTGGGGAGGAAAATATATCTTTGGTTGTGCGGTTGGATTGTAGGTGGCGGAACTGGCGGAGAATGATATGTTGGATGCGGAGGTTGGTGGGTGATATGCGAGGACAAGGGGGATTCTGTCTTTATGTTTGTTGGGGAAGGGGATGTGACGGCAGAGATGCAGGAAATGCAAGGTGATCAAAAATGCCTTTGGAACTGTCCCTCTTTTGCAGCTACACTGGCCCTATCCCCCACATCGACGACTGTATCGGCGCTGCTCCCACTAGGAGCTTGAACAGTTCGTCAACTTTACTAACACCTTCCACCCCAACCTCAAGTTCATCCGGACAATCTCTGATACCTCCCTCTCCTTCCTGGACCTCTCTGTCACCATCTCTGGTAACTGCCTCGAAACTGATATCTACTTCAAGCCTACCAACTCCCACAGCTACCTCTACTACACCTCCTCTCACTCACCTTCCTGCAAGAATGCGATCCTGTACTCCCAATTCCTCCGCCTATACCATGCCTGTTCCCAAGATGGGGCATTCCACTCCCAAACATCCCAGATGTTCTCTTATTTCGAGGACCATAACATCCCCCCTCCGGTGATTGAAAATGCCTCACTCAACTGCATATCTTGCGTTTCCCACACCTCTGCCCTCACATCCCCTCCCCACAACAAAAATAAAGAGACAGAATCCCCCTTGTCCTCACATACCAGCCCACCACCCGCCGCACCCAGCGTATCATTCTCCCCCACTTCAGCCACCTACAATCTGAACCCACAACCAAAGAGATATTTCCCTCCCCACCCCTATCCACTTTTCATAGGGTTAGTGGGGAGTGTGGAGTGGATGAGGGAGTTGTGGAGAGAGCGGTCCCTACCAACTCTGGCACCTTTCCTTACAACCGCAGGAAGTGCTACAACTGCCCCTACACCTGCCCCCTCACCTCCATTCAAGGCACAAATCAAACGTTCCACATTAGACAGGGGTTCACCTGCACATCCGCCAACTTGGTCTACTGCGTCCGCTGCTCCCGATGTGGCCTCCTCTACATCGGTGAGACCAAGCAGAGGCTTGGAGACCATTTTGTAGAGCATCTGCGCTCTGTTCGTGACAAACGACAACACCTTCCGGTTGCGAACCATTTTAAATCCCCCTCCCACTCCCTGGATGACATGTCCATCCTGGGCCTCCTCCAGTGTCACAATGACACCACTCGCAAACTGGAGGAACAGCACCTCATATTCCACCTTGGGAAACTACAGCCCAACGGTCTCAATGTGGACTTTACCAGTTTCAAAATCTCCCCACCCCTGGCCTCATCCCATGACCAACACTCCCTCTCATCCCCACCCCCTTGATCTGACACAACCTGCCCATCTTCTTTCCCACCTATCCGCCCCTCCCATCCCACTGACCAATCCCCACCGCTGCCTACCTGCACGCACATCACTATCCCACCTACCTTCCCCAGCCCCACCCCTTCTCTCTGAGCTTCTTCCCCCTCCCCTAATTCTGAAGAAGGGTCCCGACCCAAAACGTCAGCTTTCCTGTTCCTCTGATGCTGCCTGGCCTGCTGTGTTCCTCCAGCTCTACACTGTGTTATCTCTGACTCCAGCATCTGCAGCTCTTACTATCTCTGTCAACTTTACTTTTCTTTTTCTTCTGGTTTATGATATATATCGTTAATTT